ATGTTGGAATATGAACTATTTTCTATAGTAAAGAGGGTCAGATTATCATACATGAAGCTAAAAATCTTTAGTAGAAACGGAGAACGCTTGGCTACTGCCCAGAGAGAATCCCCATTGGCGTTCTTTTAAAAACAATAACAAAATAAATGCCTGTAACAGATTATTCTTACATAAAGGTGCATATTCCTGGCCTTGGATAGTTCTAGGCTCCTCGCATGTTGATACTTGTTCTAGTGCTAAGAGGTCCAGTTACATCTGCATTATCTCAGGGTCTGCAAGCTAGTATTTCTACTTTATTTTTCATTTTGAAGGACACATATTTTTCTATACCTGTAAGCAATCTATAGCCATACTGAGCTTCCTACCTTGGCTAATGGAATTACTTCTTAAAATTATGAGTGTTTTTGTTGTTGTTTCCATTGCTAATTTGTGTGTGTGTGTGTGTGCATATGTATTTTTATTTCTGAGTTGTACTAGGTTCAAGTGGACTGACTCAACCTTTTTTTTTTTTTCAAAAAGTCCTAATTATTTTAAGAATTTTTAGAACAAAAATTCACATAGAATACATATATTCTATTATATTATTATAAAAATTCTTGCGTAAATTGTTCTGAAACCATTTTTGCCCCTAAGTTTCAAAATGGCCCAGAAGATTGTATGTTTTTTTTTTCCCCAAGTGTCTTTCCCCAATCTCCCATTTTACCACTTAACAAGAGAAATGAGCAACTCACATGTATCTTGAGTTCTCTTTTGGTGTTCTTAACTGATACTAAAACACAGTTGAAACAAACTTGAAGTCAATCTGAAATGTTGGTGTCAGTGAGGGCACCATGTTCATAGAATAGCATGTGACATGCAAGAAAGTGTTCATACACTAATCATAATGATGACAGAGGATGTATCTCATAGATGAAGAAAACTACTGGTTCTTCAAAGAAATCCCCAGTCAAGAGTTCATTTCTGCCATAACAGCCAGCAAATAATCTCAGTGATAAATTTTTTTATTTAAATGCTTGCCAAGGAATCAAGTAGAGAAGAATTTAACAATATTGAATAACTATGTTAACTTTTGTATTAGTTATGGTCCAGGCAGAAGTCTGAAAAAAGTAAATTAAAAAAGTGTAGATTACTAACTAATAAAAAGGGATTGACTATGTAAAAGGATATAGAAAACACTAAGAAATGCATGGACTACAAATGTAGGGGACAGCCACTAGCACTAGGTCTGCCAAAGAGTAAAAATGGAGTGGAATAAATTTGGGAGAGGCCCTTTCTAGTCTAAGATTCGAAACTCACAGAAGAAGGATAGTCTTCAGTCACTAGATGGTAGAAAACTTTTCCACTAGGATTCTGGCAGAACTCTGGAATGTGAGCAACATTGGGTCACTTGCTGCTCTTGGCAAGGTACCTGGCCAGCTGAGAGCCACAGAACTTGCTGAGAAACTGCCTGTTGGTTGCTATCAAACTTGTTTGTGTTGAGCAAGGATAGTCTAAGAAACTTTTAGAAGAGAGACGAGGACTGTGCCTATACTTGCTCTAAAAAATACTTTCAGATAGACAAAGTACAACCTAAATATACAAACACTAAACAAAAATCCTGGTAGATCAGAGCATTGACTGCAGGAAAGAGGCTCAGAAGCACACACAGTTGTTTTACATAAAATATGTTTAGGGATGATATTTTCCATTATAAAATAAACACATTTTTTATAACTGCATATTCTATAATTATAAAACTACAAAATATAATACATAAAATATAAAAATTAGTGTTTTAAAATTGTAACTCATTTTTACCTTTTGACTTCTAAATGGCCAAGGCAGATACTATTTTATGGAATTTATTTAGAAATTTTATTTATTGTTACTATATGTAATATATATGGTTATATAATCTTATAGTTATATACTAATATTTATAGGTATACTTACAATTATATAGTTAAGTGTATATGAACACACACACATAGGCATACTCTTATAGGTTCTGAATGTTCTGTGGTAAAGACAATGTTTAAACTTATTAATATTTTATTTATTACATTACTTATATTTTTAATATTTTATTTACATATGTCTTTACTTGTTTATATGTAATTTATATTTTATTTTTGTATTTTATATTACTTATATTATTTATATTACATTATTTTTAATGGCAAAAACTGCAATTACTTTTGCACCAACCTAATAAATAATTATAAACCTAGTTGGGGAAACATTGTTAGGAAAGGAATAATGCCACAAGTTGCAGTTTAACTTATTTATAAAACATTATCTCTACTGTGGTATGTTTAAACAGTATCTAAATGTGTAATAAGTACATGCTACTTGACAGAATACTAGGTAAAACAATGTGGTTCCTTGACAACTTAGCCTTCCTTAGCCTTTTTCAAAAATGCATTGTTAAATTAGAAATTTTACATGAAAAAATGTTCTAGGCTGCATGAAATAATTTTAGTTGTTTAGAAATTATACTATATTATGATTTCTTCAATGTAAGTCTAATTTTAGAGAATATTGTGCTCAGACCAATTACCTGGGCCAAAGTTATAAAGCTTTATAATCACAAGTCTTTTGTAATTATTTATGATATTTTTTCATTTCCACTTGAAGATTCTGTGTGTTACATTAGGACCATCACTACTGTTAGTTCCATTATTTAAAAATTTTCCTTACATAGTGAAGAAGCCATACTTTTCAAAGAATATCTGTACATGAAATCATTCACTACAAATTGTATATGTTACACTTTGATCTCAATTTCTACCTGAAAAATGCTCATGGTGATTTCTCTAAGAAGTTTTAGGTAAAAGGAGAGGTCTTACAGTCAAACAACTTGCATTATAAACCTCATCTTACATCTAATAACTATTTGAATAAGGGAATTAATAGGAGTTCTTTGTTCCCATATTTTCTCAGTTGTAAAATAAGAAATCATTTTTTAGATAGGCCATTAAATGACATAAATCCTGCAGTCAACAAAAATGAGCTGTATTTATCTTTCTATACCAATAAACATTCTAAATAACATTATATTCATGTAATTACATTTATTCATGTAATATACATGAATAAAAAATACATAATAAATTTAGCAAAGAATTATTGAATGTCTACTATTCAAGACACTATGAAAATAATTACCATCCTGTACTTTATTTATAGGCAGCTGGGTCCCTGGTTAGATGCTATGTTGTATGAGATTCCATGTTTGTGAATTAGAAATTTGATGATCTGATGGAAAGTATTGTTGGGTGAACTTTTGGGAACTGGAATTGCAGACCCTGAGCCAGAATAGATATCTATTCTCATGAAAATAAAATGCTAGACCTCTTAGGTGAGCATTTTATTTTCCCAATGAATTCAACTTATTACAAAGCTTTTTTTTTTTGTCTATTAAGTCAATAATGCCATAGTAGCTACTCAGCATTTGTCTTTATTGCTAAGTGGTTATGTATTGAGAAGTATCAGTAGCTATACTAAACTTCACAAGTGGAAGTCCATTCTCCAAGCCTATAGCTAATCTACATCTCTGCTACTGTGGCCACACCACTAATGTGCCAATTGTGCTAGTTCTTGGGTTGGCCAATGGTAAGGGTTAAGAAAATCCATACTCTACCAGCAGAATATTAATAGAGGAAAATGACTAGCAAGGGTGAAGGAAGTAAGCAGGAGGAGTCTTCGGATGGCAATTCATATCGGCCAACTGTAAAAAGAATGAAGAAAGAAAGGAGTTGTGACAGTCAGTGTCTTATACTGAAGTAAAGCTTTAAGAAGATTGTGTCTAGGCTAAAAGGGAGTCCTTATGATTAGCTGAAAAAGTCCCCCAAGGATATCAGGCCCTCGTTACCGGAACCTAAGAATAAAATTTTGTTTGGTAAAATATAAGGTTAAACTAGGAATTTCAGGATACAGGTATTATCTTGGATAATGAAATTAGAAGTGTCCTCCTGAGAGAGAGGCAGAGGGAGATTTCACACAGGCAGAAAAAGTGGAAGACACATACAAGAAAAGAAAGAAAATTACCAATGAAGCTGAGATGGTCGTCATGCAGCCACAGGTGTCAGGAAATGCTGCAGTCACCAGAAGCTAGAATAAGCAAGGAATTCATTCTTCACTGGAGCCTCTGGAGGAAGAATGGCTCTGATGACTTCTTAGTATCAGTCCAGTGTTACTTATTTCAGACTTCTGCTTCTAGCATCAGTTAGAAAGAATTTCAATTGCTTTAAGTCACTGATGCTTTGATAATTGTTACAGCAGCTCTAGGAAACCAATGCAGTTGTCGAGCCAAAGTTGTCCAGTAGAGGAAGTCAATATAATAAAAAAATAGGTCAGGCATTGCCTATAAGCCTCCTAGGGGTATTTCGACTTTGGCACAAATGCAGTGGTAGATGAAGGACAGTGGCAGAGGCCATCAATCAACTGCCCTCCCCACTGTCAGAGTTAGAAAGATGAGGTTCATAGCCACCAAAAAAGGGCAAAATTTTCATTTATGTTGCAGCTTAGTCTGTGTAGAATATCCTACTCAAAAATGGAAAACAGTCAGTTTTTTCCAAGTCAGATGTGAGACATTTATGAAATTTACCCATGTGTCAGGCCAAGCAGCAAGCTCCAATCAAAATGAAATAAAAAGTGTACTTCAAAACTTCTCTGAGCAAAAATGATATGAAAAAAACATATTCAATATCTATTATGTAAAACTGCAGAAAGGAAATTATATAATTAAAAAAGATAAAAGCATGATACAAGTTTGAAAATATTTAGAACCTTACCATTATTTATAAGAATATTTATATAAAATTATAAGTTGTAGCTGAAGTGGAAACTAGAGGGTAATTTACATGTAGTTGAAGAATTACCAATTGATCATAATTTAAACTATCAAATTTAAAAAAGTTAAGTTCACAGAAAGTTGGATAAAGATAAAAAAGATGATAATAATGAAGATGAATAGCATTGAACCTATAAATTTATTTGGGCAGTATGGCCATTTTCATGAAAATATTGAGCACTTCATGAATTTGTGAGTCAGCCTTGCACAGAGGCCATGCTAATCTTCTCTGTATCATTTTAATTTTAGTATATGTGCTACCAAAGTAAGTACAAGTCCATTTTTATAAAAGAAAAAAAATCACAACTTAGATTTCAAGTGAAAATTAGCACTATAGGACTCTATCTTTAAAGAAAAGAATAAAATGTTCCCAATGGGAAGTAAAGTTTGTTTGTTTGTTTGTTTGTTTTTTTGAGATGGAGTGTTTGCTCTTGTTACCCAGGCTGGAGTGCAATGGCGCGATCTCGGCTCACCGCAACCTCCGCCTCCTGGGTTCAGGCAATTCTCCTGCCTCAGCCTCCTGAGTAGCTGGGATTATAGGCACGTGCCACCGTGCCCAGCTAATTTTTTGTATTTTTGGTAGAGACGGGGTTTCACCATGTTGACCAGGATGGTCTCGATCTCTTGACCTGGTGATCCACCCACCTCGGCCTCCCAAAGTGCTGGGATTACAGGAAGTGAAGTTTTAAAGTGATAATTGGATTTGTAATTTGTCAATGGAAAATTAAAAAGATAACCATAGCAATTATTTCAATACTGGATATGTTATAAATAAACCAACAAACTCTGCATAGTTTTTATTACTCTGGAGGCATGCTTGACATATATCTGCTTTATGAGTTTTGGTCTTAATGCAGGTATGGACTTATGCATTCTACTTATAATTTAGTTTCTTCTTGCTTATCTAACCTTGAAAAAAAACATTGACTCTGGAGCAGGAACTTTCATTTATAAGTCTAGGTGAGTTTGGCTGAGAAAGGCCAAATGCTAATTTTTTCCTAAGCAATTATGAGTTGGTGTCAGAGACCTGTCAGGAACAGTGGGTGAGCAGATGACAGGGCAATTGTGACAAGCTCCTCAAATTAAACCTTGGTATGAAATGTTAGTACACTCTGCTTAACACCATTTTGCAATGTATAAAATTATTACATACTACATAATTTACATTACTTTTACACACTGTATTACGTTATTAGTATAACACTGACCCAGTGCTGCTATCCTGTTTATTAATATGTTTACATAATTTCTCCTAATGGCTAATGAGAACATTTTTATTACCTAAACTAAGGTTTTTAAGTTAGACAAGGAATATGTTTCAAGATGGCTTGTAATAAAATTTTATTACTCTTAGAGGCACAAAGGCCAAAAATTCTTGACTGTCTGTATTCTTAGGAAGACAGAGATTTCAGGGGCTACAACGAAATGAATTATAATTACATAAACACATAATATAATAATTATATATGTTATTTTGACTAAGATAACAATACTTAAGTAGTATTTTACATAGTTCAGTATGATTCTTTTGCAGTAAAGTAATACTTCAATTATTAAGGATAATTATAATAAAAACAATTATGCTTTATAGAGTCTGAATAAATAGAACATAGTTATAACATTATTGGAATGATTTTTTTGTATAATTACTTATATATAGGACTAAAAGTTTATAAACAACATTGTCTTTGAAGTAATTTTCTCCAGCCAACAAATAGAGTTCTAATCTGAAAACGAAAGTAAGTAAAATTAACAAACAATAAAGAAATGTTTGCTATGGGATACAATTATGGATAGATAGCTGATACATGGGTGAATAACAGATGAAGTTCAATAAACTTGGCCTTCTGCCACAATATTTATCCTTATGGCTACATCATAAAGAATTTGCAAACCAGTCTCTGAAAATATGAATAATCAAAATATATTTTCTGTTCTGAAGAAATGATAATTATTCCCATCATTTCTAATATTCTGTTTTACTTATTTCTAAAAGGTCTGTTGAGTATGTGTCACATATAAATGTATGTTTGTATATGACGTAATTTGGGAGTTAGCTAATGTAACTCACCTGTATTGAATGGTACATTGCTTGAAAACATCTATTCAGAATTTAGTGAAGGAGAGTCACTGAATTCTGAATAGATGTTTATATTAGTTTAGATATACCTTATTTATTTAAGGAGTGTTAACATGTCACATATATTTATAGAATGTATACACTTAATAAATATCACAGGTTCCTTTGTCATGCAGTGATATGTGAAACTAAGGACTATTAGGATTTGAAGAAAGGAAGTAGACGAATATTCAGATCAACATGTTCATCCAAAGGGAAGGCAGAAGAGGTGAAAATGTGTTATGATGCCACGTTGTCAAGGAAATAAACTAAAGGTTTAAAAAGCTGAAGAGCATTATCAAAATAACCAGGTAGTCAAGCCTGGTATTTGCTAATTGCATTTGTATTTTATGTAACTAATTCCGAAAAAAAGTAAAAGAAAGTTTGGCTAGGCATGCTGGCTCATGCCTGTAATCCCAGCACTTTGGGAGGTAGAGTAGGGAAGATCACCTGAAATCAGGAGTTCAAGACCAGCCTGACCAACATGGAGAAACCCCATCTCTACTAAAAATACAAAATTAGCTGGGTATGGTGGTGCATGCCTGTAATCCAGCTACTCAGGAGGCTGAGGCAAGAGAATCTCTTGAACCTCGGAGGTGGTGGTTGCAATGAGCTGAGATCACGCCATTGCTTTCCAGCCTGGGCAACAAGAGCAAAACTCCATTTCAAAATAATAATAATAGTAATAATAATGATAAAAGTTTGATCTTGAAGGCCTGTGGAGGCATAATCATAATAATTATCTAGTAGTCATTAATACTGAGATAACATTTAAAACTCAAAATAATTTTTCCTAAGTCATAAAGGATTTACACCCATAAGGCTATTTTCCTAAAATATTTTATAGTCCTAACTGCCTTATATAATTTGTCCAGTTTCTCTACCTTCCTGCCAGCAGTCAATGTTGTCCCTCATCCTTATTTTAACCATGTAAGTGTGTGTTCTCATGTGGTGGAAGGAATGAATGAGATCTCTGGAGTCTCTTTTATAAGGGAATTACCCTGATTTAGGAGAGCTTCATCTTCATGACCTAATCACCTCCTAAAAGGTCCCAATTCCTACTATCACTTTGAGATTTAAGATTTTAACATATGAATTTTGGGGAGATAAAGGTATTCTGAAAACAGTGGCTATTTATCGAATAAGTCTTCTGAAAATATTTTCCCCCAGTAGTGGCTTATCTTTTCATTCTTTTGACATTGCCTTTCAGGGAGGAAAACTTTTCAATTTTAACAAAATTAAGTTTATCAGATCAGTGTTCATGGATTGTGCCTTTGGTGTTACATCTAAAAAAAATCACAAAGCCCAAAGTCATGGAGATTTTTCCCTATGTTATATTCAAGAAGTTTTAATATGTCGTGTACACATTAAGTCTGTGCTCCATTTTGAGTTAATTGTGTAAACGGTGTAAGTTCTGTATGTGGATTCATGTTTTTTATATGTAGACATCTAGTTGTTCCAGCACAAGTTTTGAAAAATACTATCCTATTGCAATTATATTGCTTTTGCTCCTTTGTCAAGAATCAACTTATTTATGTGAATTTTTTCTGGGCTCTCTATTTTATCGTACTAATCAATTTGTTTATTCTTTTGTCAATCCCACACTGTCTTGATCACTGTAACTTTCTAGTGTCTTGAAGACTGGTAGTGTTAATTCACCAACTTTGCACATTCCCTTAAATATCGTGTTGGATATTCAGGGTCTTTTGCTTCTCTATATAATATTTTTTTAAACTTTTTATTTTAACTTATGCGGGTACAAAGTAAGTATATATATTTATGGGTTACATGAAATATTTTGATACAGGCATGCAACGTGAAATCATCACATCAGGTTAAGGGAATGTGTTATTTCAAGCATTTATCTTTTATGTTTCAAGCAATCCAATTATACTCTTTTGGTTATTTTTGTATAAACAGTTAAACTGGTTTTTACTACAGTTATCATGGTGTGCTAGCAAATAATAGGTCTTATCGATTATTTGCAATTACTTTTTGGACCCATTAATCATCTCTGCTTCCCCCTGTCCCCCACCTACCTTTCACAGCTGCTGAAAAGCATCCTTATACTCTGTTTCAGAAGATTATTATTTTTTTAATTTTTAGCTTCCACAGATACGTGAGAATATATGATGTTTATCTTTCTGTATCTGGTTTATTTCAATTAACATAATTATCACCAGTTCCATCCATGTTGTTGCAAATGACCTTCTGCATTTTCAGTTTTGGTTTTGTGCATATGGCTGGCCATTTATCCCATCACCATTTATTGAATAGTGAATCCTTTCCCTTCACTTGCTTTTGTCATTTTAATTGAAGATCAGATAGTTATAAGCATCTAGCATTATTTCTGTGTTCTCTGTTCTGTCCCAGTGGTCTGTATGTCTGTTCTTGTACCAGTACCATGCTCTTTTGGTAGTACAGTTTGAAGTCAGGTAGCATTAAACCTCCAGCTTTGTTCTTGTTGCTTACGATTGCTTTGGCTATTTGGACTTTTTCTTGTTGTTCCATGGGAATTTAAAAATAGTATTTTCTAGTTCTATGAAGAATGTCAATAGCATTGAATCTATACAGTCCTTTGGGAAGTATACTCATTTTCACAATATGGATTATTCCTAAGTGGGTACATGGAATGTTCTTCCATTTGTTTGTGTCATCTCTGATTTCTTTGAGCAATAGTTTGTAATTCTTGTAGAGATCATTTACCTCCCTAGTTGGCGGTATTTCTAGGTATTTTATTTTATATTTGTTACAGTTGTGAATGGGAGTTCATTTGTGATTTGGCTGCCAGCTTGACTATTGTTGCTTCATAGGAATGCTAGCATTTTTTTTTTTTCACATTGATTTTGCATTCTGAGACTGTTTGGTTGCTTATAAGCTTACGAAACTTTTGGGCTGAGATAATGGGGTTTTCTTGATATAGGACCATGTCATCTGCTAACAGGAATGTTTGACTTTGTCTCTTCCTATTTGAATGCCCTTTGTTTCTGTCTCTTGTTTCTTCTCTCTGGTCAGAATTTCCAATACTATTTTGAGTAGGTGTGATGAGAGAAGAAGGCATCCTTGTCTTGTGCTTGTTTTAAGGGGAATGCTTCCAGCTTTTGCTCATTTGATATGATGTTGGAGGTGGACTTTTCATATATAGCTCTTAATA